CGAGTTCTTCACAAAAATGAGTCAAGAAGTGACTTGAAGTTCTACGGGAGGTGGGCTCCATTGCTAGTCCGCTAGGATGGTCAACAAGGGACTCCTAAGGCTAGATCCTAGGTTCTAAGAGTAGGAGACTAAGACCTCACAAAAATGAGGTCAACAAGTACCGAGTAATCCCTTTTGCTACAAGTCTAGCCTTGAACTTTTCAATACTTCCATCTGCTTTGTATTTAATAGTGAATACTTATTTGCGCACTACATTTCTTTTCTCGGTGGCAAAGTTGTTATGATCTAGGTACCATTCTTTTCAAGGGTAATAATCTCTTTTTCCCCATACTTTTTTCTAAGCTGGAAAGGATAAGACATCTTGGATTGAATTTGGAAACTGCACTTTATCAAAATTCTAAACAAAAGATTTTTATGAAGGTGATGATTTTTCACAGATCACAAATTCTTTTATCGTATGCTTTGTGTATTCTTGTGCTCCTTCTTCCTCTTATTGTTCATGATGTGTTGACCCAACCTCTGTGTGAACACTTGGGTGTGGAGTTCGTTTCGGTAATTTACATTCTTGATTTTGTATATCATCCCTTACATGCTAACTAGGTTTTTTCTTTCTGGTGTACGCTCAGAGTTCTTGATTCTTGGTGGGAGCTGTGGGAGGATTTAGCAGAACAGTAAACTCATTTTATTGTTGATTTGTGATAATGGGGACAAGAGTGGGCTCATCAGGGATATGAGGAAGGTGAGCTTGAGGTTCCTAAATTATACCTTAAATCTGATATTCTCTTCAATCCCCTAAATATTAGATTTGGGTAATATGGTTGATTTTAAAATAAGTTAACTTCTATAGAGTTGTAAAATTTGTGTTTATGGAGATTAGCATTTATATCTATTTTTGTTTGAAGAGTAGCTCACAAAGATGCATTTGATTGACCTGAGATCAAGTTTGCTCTTGTGTGATTGATATATTGAACAAAAGTGGTGCAACAATCTATAGAGTTGTAAAATTTGTGTTTATGGAGATTAGCATTTATATCTATTTTTGTTTGAAGAGTAGCCCACAAAGATGCATTTGATTGACCTGAGATCAAGTTTGCTCTTGTGTGATTGATATATTGAACAAAAGTGGTGCAACAAAAAATTTTTAGGCATGCTATTTATGTGATAAATAGACGTAATAATTCAACAAAATGTTTGGGTACATTGTTGGTGACTAGAATTGAACCTGCCACTTGGAGGAGATGTTTTTCTTTCTCCCAACCACATCATTTTGTTGGGGTATATTATTGTAAGAGCTTATATGAACGATGTCATATTTGAGCAGGCAATGGCCGAGAGTGGAGTAGTAGTCTTTTGCATTACTGATTTTGAGAATTTGAGTTTTCTCTGAAATTGGGTGAGGTTCACGTTGTGTAAGGTTTCAAATATGTTGGCAGTAGCGGTGTAAACAAGTTGAGTCGAGCTCGAGCCATCATTTGGTTGAACTTGTTTAATTTTATTGAGTTCGAGCTCCAGCTCGAGCTTAAGTCTATGAGCTTAAGCCGGCTTATGAGCCAGCTTGTTATTTATATAAGAGAAAACCTAATATTAATTGAAGGGTTTTATGGAATATTCTTGCAGGTTCAGTGGGTCTTATGGAAACCTTTGTTAGCTTCTTTAGAATGTCCTAGAAACTCCTATTGAAATTTTGATTTGCACTCTAGCTATTATTTTTTCATGCTGGAGCCTCATAGATTAAGTGGAGACATGCAAGCTGCCTTGACCGAGTGGTTGAGAGCTGTCTTTCAACAAAGAGATTATGGGTTCAAGGTCTTGTATATGTGGTGCGCGTGCATTTAGGGTGTGTTTGTGAAAAAATAAAAAGGTGCAGGCAGCTCTATGAAGTTGATTGTCTAGTTGGGCGGAATGGCTTCTGAATTGGTCACTGTTTTGGTCGTAGTAAGAGGAGCGTCTGTCACATTTTCTGTGCAGGAGCTTTACATTTCTTTATCTACATTATAGCAGCTTTTATTTCACACTATAATTATCTAACACAATAATCCTTTGCTGTCCTTTGCAATGAGGAAATTTATGTTTTGATTGTTTCACATTTCTTAAAATTTATTAAGTTTGACATTTTGATATGTTTTACTTCCACAGATGTCTACACGGAGAGGAAGCACTGACATACACGAATTTGATGGAATGTTTCAAGGATTTCATGTTCATTTTAAAGTTACATCTGTTACCGGACATGTTTTTAGGTTGGGTATTTATCTAAATTTTAACATTTTTGAAATTGCCCTTATTTTTTTGAAGTGTAGGAACCTCTATTCTGTGGATTGCTTTGCCTGATCTTGTTTTATTTCATTTTCGACCATTGCAGTTTAGACTTTCCAGCTAAATACCAAAATTGGGAAGCGACAGATGCTCTAGATCTTTTCCAAGCTCCTGTTGTAAAGCTAGAATCAAATCCAAAGGCAAGCTCTTCTTTTTCTGGATTTTTCTCTGCATGTTTTTGTTGTTGGCAATTTTTGTTGGTAATTGTGAAGGCCTTCAGATGCTGTAGCTGTTTAAGAACTTTTTCTATTATTAATAGTTTGTATGTGCTGCAAATTATATTTATTTTTGTAATCCTTAGGTATGTTTGTAGATAAATTCCTGAGGTAGTCCATTTATTTAAATCTATAGAAGTTACTTCATTCAATCATCCAAATACATAGAAATTTACATCATTCATAGTTAATTGAAGGGTCGGGTCCAATTAGAGTTAATAATCACATATTTCCATATGCACATACAGGAAGCATTTAAATCTATTACATAATAATAAAAAATGGCTAAGGAATATAAAATGGTTAATCAATTAATGGAACTATTCACAATCCACAATAATATATATTCAATAATCATGATTATGATTTGTCGTGCAAAAACATCAAAACATATGGTATTGAACCATGATTACAAAAGAATGCATGAACATCCAAAATGATATCTATTAAAAAAAATGCATTTCACAGATTGACTCATGAATTATATGAAATCACATATGTGGAACCAAAATAATTGTATCTTATGGATGGGAATCAATAATCTATCTCTCAAGGAGTGAAATCACAATAAAAAACCTGCTTCAGATCAGCCACACAAGCTTCTTAAGCTATTCTCTATCCCAAGTTCTCAGCCTCTTCTCGCAAAAATGTCGATGGAGAATAAATAAAACCAACCAACCTTGTTTTTTAAGAGACGAGGCTTTTAAAGAGGTATAAAAAAGGCAAATAGTGGAAATGAAAAAAATACGATGTGCAACTCTTCTTTGATACAATGCTTCTTAAAAGATAGATATATATCTATCTATATATATAGATATCCTATCATATGACAAATCACTGGATTGTTCATGCACAATCATGAGTTAGTTTATTTTCTTAAGGATTGTGCAATAGAGCTTATGCTTAAGAATTTGAAGGTGGCTTATTTTCTTAAGGATGGCACAAGCATGAAATAGTTGTCCTTAATTGAGTGCATTTTGAGGTGGCTTAATCAGGGCATGAATTGTGCAATAGAGCTTATGCTTAAGAATTTGAAGGGAACTATAGGTGTCTTCTTGAAGCTCTTTACCATTAAGATCTTCAAGTAGCTTCTTAGTAAAGCAGCCAACGTCCATGATGAATAGGTATCTTTGATGTTACACAGTGTAGATGGGTCCTTGGTTTCTTTTGATAGATTTAAAAAGATGAAGCCTTTCGGTAACTGACAACCTAAATAATAGGAAGGAGATGCATCATACTGTGGCTAAGAAAGGCAAGATGGTAGTTACACTTGAGCTCACGCCTCCAAACCAGCCCAAAAAGCTTGTACTTAAAGAGAAGTCATGCCTGTCCCTTAAAAAAAGATTATATGGGCCAAATTTTCAAGAATCTGGTGAAGCAAGGGATGGACCTACCCAATCCTCTGAAGTTCGAGCACACCATTAAAAACAAAATAAATGATCCCACAGTTTGTCTATTTCATATATTCCACCATTAAGGAGTGTTTTGCATTTAAAAATGAGCTAGAGTTTTAAACTTCTTTCTGAGGAAGTCGGTGCCCTTAGAAATTAACTCGTGGAGAATGAGAAGAAGAAGATAATATCTATCAAAGTGCACGACCCGACCAGAAGCTTGGAATTAGGTGAAAACTGTCGGACGATAGAAAATTATCTAACAGTTTAATTTCGTAAATAAAAATATCCAAAACACAAAGTAACTATTCTTTCTCATAAAGCTTTAATTTGTAATAGTTCGTACATATGTTAAACTTTTACAACAGACATGAAATAAAAAAAAATTAAAACGTAATATCTATCAGCTTGAGCTCCTTGGTGTCTATATACATATTCTCTACGATCCATCTATCCTAAAGTTGGTTTTCTTGTAACATATTAATAATTGAAGGTGTGAGTTAAACGACTAAGTGGGTAAAATATTTTAATTTATAATAATTCTCATTTTAAAAATATTTTTGTAAAAATATTATAAGCAGTAAAAGGATTGTGGTCAGGAAAAAGAAAAGTAAAGAAAGTAGTTTTTTGTTCACTTTCATTTTTCATTTTTTTATTAAATTTTTCGTTATTGAGAGTTGTCACATCATTTTTCATCTTCATTTCCATTTCGTGCACGGGTACATCACTTCCCCGGCCAGTATGATCTGCGTGTGACTCCATACACATGCATATATTATATTTTATTTCTTTTCTTGCATTTAACATTTAAAAAAAATCATAAAATTAAATGTAATTGCTATCATAAATAAACGAAACTGTTATAAAAAAAAAAACATATTTATCCACTTGTTTAGTCTATGGTTAATTTTTATCCTTTTTGCAAATCAACCCAGTTGTTTGATGCACGTAGAAGAACATTTAGGTTCTATTAATTTAAATTTCTTTCATATTAATCCTAATTGTACAATTATTATTTATTGCCTAATTTAGATGTACATATGAAATTGCCTAAGTTTGACCAAGTATTTTCCTATTTCAATTGGATTACATCAGGGATTTGCTTTAAGGTCATATCTTTTTGCTTTTGTGGATGTTGTTACCGGACTTACAGGAGTATGTACCTTGGTGTATGCTTTTCGCTAATGATATCCTTCTTGCGGATAAGACTAGAGGAGTTTAGGAAAAAACTTAAATTATGGAGGTCTATATTGGAGTCTAAAGGCCTTCATTTGAGTAGAAAACTGAATACATGGAATGCAATTTTAGTATTAGTAGCTTTAGTAGCATAGTTATAATTATGGGCTGTGAAATCATTAAAAGGTGTGAACAATTTAGATATCTCTGGTCTATTGTTCAAAGTGATGGTGATATAGTTGAGGATGTTATTAGTAGAATTCAGGTGGTTGGTTGAAGTGGAGGAATGCATCAGACCTATTGTGTGATAGAAAAGTATTGCTTGGAGTTAAAAAAAAAATAAAATTATAAGATGGTGTTGAGATTTGCAATGCTTTATGGTGCAGAATGTTGGCCTCTAAAAGTGAAGCGTAAAACAAAGTTAAGTTTTGCTGAGATGAGAATGCTTAGGTGGATGAGTGACTTGATACTTATAGAGAAAATGTGAAACGAATCTATTTGTGAAAGGGTTAATGTAGCTCCAATTGCAAACAAGATTAGAGAGAGTCGTCTTAGATGGTTTGATCACTTTAAATGTCGACCATTTGATGATTTAGTTAGGAGAGTAGATGTTTTAGATTCAACTTATGTTAAGGAAGGAAGAGGTAGACCTTAAAAAGACTTGGGCATATTGTATAAAAAATGATCTTAATCTATTAGAATTAAATAAAAATATGATACTCAATAGGAGATAATGGAAAAAAGATTTATGCAGCCGACCCCACTTAATAGGATAAAGGCTTGTTGTTGCTGTTGTTGTTTATGAATATTGAAATTACTTTTCTTTTTGTTAGAATTTCATATTAAATAATTTTTTGCCACTTTGTTATTTCAATTTAAGTTAATTTGGTAACTAGTATTAATGCATATTTTAAACTTAGGGTTCTTAAATTTTGGTTTTAATCTAATACAATTAAATTAATAAATGAACATTTTAATCATTTAAATTAAGTTTAATACTTGAAATTTCCCTTTTTCTTTTTCTGATTTCAATCTTCTCACCAATTTTTCTAAACAAATTTTAACGAAAGTTAATTAATTTGCATACAGTGTTTTATGAAATTTCAATTATTTGAAATTAATTACTTAAAATTTATTACCTTAATTTGCAAACCCCTCTGCCTTGCCCCATTATGCACATGGAGCAAGTAAGGTTCGGTCTAGCTTGTCAGGCTTGCAGGAAGGAGTCCTGCTTGCTTATTTCTTACGTTGGAGGCTTTCAAAGGCCACATAGAGTTTCTCAGGTGTAGAAGAGGCCACACGACTAGCCCCCTTTCTCCCTCGTATGGAAAATGGACGTATGGTAAGGCTCGCTCGAGCCTTCAAATGTTCAATCGATCATCTCCAGTGCAAAGGAGTGCTTCCCACGTGCTCTTCGATCGCTTGTCTCCTTCCTCTTCTACCTCTTGTGGTCGATCGTATGTGTGTGAGGAGGGCTCGAGTGAGTCTCTCTCTGCTCTTGGGAACTCGCAAACGCTAAGTTTGGGCACATTAAGCCTCAATTGGAGCTCACGAGAGTAATGAGTTTGATTTCTCTCAACAATAGGAGCTCAAAAGCTCTTTTAGAGCCTATCAATACGGAAAATGCCGCACGAGCCTTGATCTTCCTCGACAGGGTGCCTACAACTTTCCTCCACTCCTTTTTCTTTTGTTTCTGCTTCTTTCGACTAGGGCACACTTCTTTCTCGCTATCGCACTCTTGTGTGGTGGTTCGAATGAGATGGAAACGAGAGATAAGGCCTCAAATACATTTCTGGGGTTAGTGGGAGAATTCTTCGAACGACATTTGCCTCACAAGTGTCCTAAACATGCACTTTCATTTTTTTTATACTAAGTTAATTAAAATGTTAATAGTGTATTATTACAATCTTCTATCATTATAAAAATTTTGTCCTCAAAATTTAAAGTACAAGAATATATTTTATACCTTAATTGAGGAGGTGCAGATATCTTTATCTCATTCTTGATTCCTTATCTTAATTAGCATCTCTTTCAGTTCCGTGCTTTCATAATACACTAATAAAATGTATTTCTCTACTTCTAAGTTATTTCACATCATAATCTATGATTCTTTTTGGTTCCCTAAAGTTCAGATTAGGTTGAATGTTTATAGGGTATGTGACAAGCTTGCTAGCCTCATCAACAATATATTTCTGCAATAAGTAGATATGAAACACATTATGTAACCCGTACATATATGCTGGTCGAGCAAGCCTATAAGCAATTTTTCTAATTTTCTCCACGATCTCATACAGATTAATATATTGTGGGTTCAATTTTCTGGACTTTCTAAATCGTTTCACCTTTCATTGGACTAAT